AGCGGTGCTGATGGATCTGCTTGCCTGGTTTGGTGGGAGGTTTTGTTGCCAGCCCCCTGGAGACCTTGTCTGTAAGGCATGAGGAGCCATCACCCATGACTGCAATGGCAACCAACGAGGCCAGCCCTTGCTGCCTCTGCTGACCTGCAGGATGCTGGCATGCTCCAATTTACCCTCTCCAGAGATGCAGAGCTAAAGCTTTTTTGGCTGGCTGTTGAAATCACGCAGCTGCTGTTGCCCACAGTTGTGTGGAGGAGCCGTTAGGATGCGACCTGAAGAGGTCCAGCAAAGCCGATGAGGTGCAGATCAGCTCTCTTCCTCCCTCGACGGTGATGATGGAGGGACAGAAACGTCTTAGATGGAAGAGTGTCAAAACTTGAGGGGTGGAAAGAGCTCCTTGCTTGCTGGCATCGTTAATCAGAGAGCATACTTAATGTAATTAGCAAAGACTCTCCAGAGGTTCTATATGAAACAAATTGGCTCTCTCCACCCGATCGATGCCTGTGCAGAACGCTGGGCCCACCACAGCAGAGTCTGGGTTAGACTGAGCAGTCCTTGGTTCTTCTGCTTCGGCAGGCGAGGAAGCCAAGTGGCCGTTGTCTGTCCTGCCTGCCACCAGCCCGCGGAGGGTTGGTTTTAGCCCTCTTTTTTAGCCAGTTGACATAAAGCAATGATCCTACTTCTAAATTTGGACCTGAAGTCTAAGGAAGGGAGACGTGCTGTCCATTTGGGCAGTGGGCAGCTGGGCTTTCTGGCTGTTCATCCTGGAGGATGTTCTGATGATGTTATCTCTGTCATCTATAGGAAATTTGAACAGAGCATTAGTTTTTCCTTCCCTGATAAGGGTTTTGGTCACCTAAGTCTCCCACTTGGTGCACAGCCTACATGATTTCTCCAACCTGTCAACGCAGGCTCTTGAACCCTGCACTCCCAAACCTCACATGGATGCCCTGACACGAAGACCTCTGTGTGCTGAAGTTTGCCAGGCTGTAAAATGACTCAGGGTTTGAGCTGTCGTTTAGCTTCTTCCATGGTCCAGTCAAAAGGATGCATGTTGGATAGATCTTGCTTTAAGGCAGCCTACTGTTCTTACAGCTAATTTCCAGTTGTGTCTTAACTTGGTTATATCTGCAGAGACTGTTAACTCAGTATTTTTTTCTCCATTAAGTCCCCAGTGGGGTTCACAACATGAGAGACAACGTGTTTGGGACATCCATGCTATTTGAGGGTATACTTAATCTAACCCTTTGGAAAGATAGAGAAGACTGCATGACTCAAACTGTTACACATCTTCAATGAAGTAATTTTGTACGGCAACTAAATCTATTTTCTCATCGTCTTGTTTTCCAGGTCAACAATGCAGTTCCTAGCCTGGTTCAATTTGCTGTTTGTCCTTCCTTGTTTTGGTACAACCAAAACCTGCTTCCCTGGCTGCCACTGCGAAGTGGAAAGCTTTGGTCTCTTTGACAGTTTTAGCTTGACCAAGGTGGACTGCAGTGGAATAGGCTCACACATTGTTCCTGTCCCAATCCCTCTGGACACCTCCTACTTGGATCTATCATCAAACAAACTGGAAACAATCAATGAATCGATGCTTACTGGCCCTGGATACACCACCTTGGTGAGCCTCGACCTGAGCTACAACAAAATTGCCAAGATTTCCTCCACAACTTTCTCCAGGCTTCGGTACCTGGAGTCCTTGGATCTGAGTCATAACTCTCTGGAAGTCCTTCCAGAGGACTGTTTCTCCAGTTCTCCTCTGGGCGATATAGATTTGAGCAATAACAAGCTTTTGGATATAGCTATGGACGTTTTTGCTTCCAAAGGTCAAGGAAAACCCCTGAATGTGGATTTATCCAATAATATGCTCAGCACCATTACGAGGCACCGTGAAAAGAGCATCCCCAACATCCAGAACTTAAATCTTTCTGGAAACAAACTAAGGTCTGTGCCAAACCTTCAAGGGATTCCTCTCCGATACTTAAACCTTGACGGGAATCCTCTAGTCAATATTGAGAAAGGAGACTTCACGGGGCTGAAAGATTTGATTCATTTATCCCTCAGCAGCCTGCGTGGCTTTGGAGAGTTATCTCCTTATAGCTTTAAGGAACTACCAGCCCTCCAAGTTCTGGATTTATCCAGCAATCCCGACCTGAAGTCACTGACTGCTGAAGTTATCTTTGGTCTGAACTCTCTACAAGAGCTCAACCTCTCTGGGACAGGCGTGTCATCCTTGCCAAAAACGGTGCTGAAATACCTGCCTTCCATCAAAAGCATCACCTTGGAGAAGAACATACAGTGTCTTAAGACGATCAAAGAAGGACAGTACCACCGACAGATTGGCCTGACCAAAAAAGAGGTCCTCAGTTGCCACGACAGCCACGGGTCCGTAGCAGCGGCGCCTTACGTTTTGTGATGAAACTGGGGAGAGGGGGTGGTGGGGAAGGGAGGGCGGGGGGCCGTGGGATTTGTACAGATGTCGGACTGAGGTGGCTTGCAGTGTGCCTTTTGTACAACTGTCAATAATTTATATATTTGTATATGCCAATACTTGATTGTTTGTGGATTTTATAAACTCTCAAATCCTGGCCCGCATCATCTGCAGGCTCCAGATTTTGCCCAGTGCATCGAGGTCCTGCATGCAGCCCGTTAGCTCAAGAGCGGTGTTGCCGGACAAGGGGGGACCAAGCTGCTCTGCAGGTCCCAGGGCAGAACAGCCGGTCTGGAGCAAACCTTCGTGCCCCAGACACGTTTGTAGGAGCAAAGCTACGTCTCTCCAGAGCACACACCAAAACATACCGACTCCGTAGCTGCTTGCTTACAAACCCATGCATCATCCAGTTTTTTTAATTATTACCCCCCAAGAAGTGCCTTCTGGATGTTGCCTTCATTAGCAGCACCCTGTTCCCCGTCATGCACTTTCAGTCTTGAAGAAACATTTCCAGACAAACCTGAATACAGGGTGCTCCTAATGTGCTGCTTTTTACACGTTATTTGCATAGGTGTGTGATGAACATAGAGTAAGTCGAGAACTTTTCCCACAATTTTCTGCGTATTTTCCCATCTTGATCCTTTTCACATCAAATTACTTCAGGTCCAACCTTGGCAACCTCCCGTCTTTCTAACCTTAGCGAGCTCAGAGATGATGTGCAGCGGAGCAAAGGAAGCAGGGGGGTCTGCCAACAGCCGCGTCTCACCCAGGAACCAGCCTCCGCTGAAGCAAATTAACTGAGCTGTAGCCTAGCTTAAAAAAAAAAAAAAAAAAAATCCCTTCTCCCTTTCTGGGGAAGCTTGGAAGAAAAGCTTGACAGGGATTCTCGTCTTGACGACCTTATCAAACCAAGACGCAGACCCAGAGGACGTGAGAGTAAACGGTTTCCACGCTGACGTTCCCCATCCGAACACAACATCTGCGACTCAGCTGAGCTCCTGTGAGGCAATTTCCAGCGCCGAAACGCTCTCCAGAACGTGCCAGGGGAAGAATTAACACTGACGCCTGTGACCCTGGAACACTTTGCCTATCAGGGGAAAGATCTTGGTTTTTTTTTTTTTCCAGAGTTGTGGCTTTTCTTTCTCTCACACAGCTCCTTGGCTGCCAACCGAAATCTGATAAAAAGCCTGATCCACATAGATTTACTCATTTTTTCCTTCATTGCTGAAATGCTAGCGAAGCAAAGGGGAACCCCTCTTGTCCCCCTTCTTCTCCAGGCTAGGAGAAAGCAAAGGAAGGCAGCACAGCTTGACTCAATGCCGTCTGTGAAGGCTTCAACCTGCTTATAGGAGCTCCTGCAGTGGAGGAGGTCTGCTGAGGTCTGGTCCACATCTGGCACGTTCTGCCCTGGGATGGGAAAGGGTGTTGTGGATGGGGGTCCTGCTCGGGTTGGTGGGCAGCTTGGTTTCTAAACCCAGCCTTGCATCAGGGCAACCTTCAATGTTTGAAGCTGGTTTAGGGAGGTCCACACAAAGGTGATGCAGATATAAACCCATTCCACAATCCTCCTTGGCAGTGTTGGGAGGAGCTCAGGCTTCGTCCTCACACCTCCGAAGGTCTTTGCAAATGGAAACCCTATTGCCCAAAGCAGCTGTCTCCAGGCATGGTTGAAACCCACTGAGCCCACAAAAGCCGGAGTCAACACCTCACTTTGGATACTGAAATCCTTCTCCCACATTTTCATCCATCTCCTTTTCAATGATTTGTTTGCGGACCTTAGGGTGGGATTTTAACGCTTTCTTTCAGGTTTTCCCCCTCTGCTGACCCTTTGCAATGCTCCACCAGCCTTCACAGTCACAAGAAACATTGATTTTTCTTAAAAAGGCAACGGGACTGCCTACAGGCAGGGATCTGGAGGGGAACAGCAACCAACTGCAGTGCAAGACGGGGGCAGTTTGAGAGGGAGGAAGTGTTTTTTTAGTGGATCTTGCCTTTTTAAGAGAATTCTTTTCTGCTGGCAGAAAATGTAATTTTTAAAAAAGTTGTTTAATTTTATAAGTCTGTACGTAGATTAAATGTTTCGGGGATCACATACCGTCCACGTTACTGTCTTTGCACCACTGTGGTAAATTTAAAACCCAGTGTGACAATCCAATTGAAGACTGCAAGATTTCCTTGTGTAATCTCACGCTAGCTGCTAGCTAAATAAGTCTTAGCAAAAGCTGGCAAATACCGTTGCTGTGTTAGTTTGTTTTTTTTTAAAGAACCTCTGCAGCATTGTAAGGCTTCGTGATTACTCACAATATAATAAAGTGATTTGGAGGAGAATAAATCCAGATCCCCCGGATTTATTGCCTTAGTGCTGGGAAGGCGGCAGCTGTCGCTGGGTCTGAAGTGCAACACGGCTTCTCTCCTTGCTCTGCTCAGCCCCACGAGCGTTGCATCTCCAAACTGGGGGCAGGATTTGTCCCGCTGTGTTTGGCTTGCTGGGCTCCTCGCTGGCAGAAATGCTTGAGAGCTTCACTGGCGGACTCAAAGGAAATTATGGACACGTGGCAGTGAAGAAGCACAAGAGTATCTGGAGCGAATTTCCTGCTCCAGGATCTGCTCCAAAGCTTGTCAGAAATGGTGGGGAATCTCTTCATGGATTTGGCCAATGTGGGACACGGTCTGCTAGGGTTGAAAGGCTGGGTTTGCAGAGTGGGTGATGCAGGGAGAGCCCACGAGCTGTTTCACAAGACGATGGGGGTGGGAGGAAGCGAATGGGTAGAGGAGCGATGCCACGGCACAGAAAGCTGCACGCTGCCAGACCGCAGGGCTTTCGGCGGTGGGATACACGTGGTCCAGCTTCAGCACCGCTCTCCGAAGAGCGGGGGCTGCTGCATGGAGGGCTAAGAGCGTGCAGAGCCATTGCAACTAAAGAATAAATAGAAACATCTCAGGAGGGCTTTGCCTGCTCTTAAATAGCAAATTTAATTTTAAGCACTTCTCGATGCTGTGTATAAAAGTGATGCAAGCAGACACCCAGTGAGGAAACCGCCCCCGGGGAGCTGCAGCGTTCCCGGTCCTCCCAAGCCTGAAGGAACAACTGCATCTTCCATCCAGGCAGGCAGAGCTGCAGGCTGCCTGGAAGAGGCTGTTGGTTCTCCGTCTGCCTCCCCAAACTGCCCTGTCCTCCAGGACATCATGCAAGGTACAGTCAGACTATAACCTGGGGGTAGACATCTCCAGGAGAGGCCAGATCCTGCTCCCAGCACTGTTATGGACAGTAGGGGAAAAGCCATCACCAACCCTTAGAGATGACTGCTCCTCTGGTGTCCACCATTGCGTTGCTGTGACCATTAGGCCATACTACCATGCTCCTTCTGGATGGGATCCCTCCTGCCCTGGGACAATGGGCTCAGTTGGAGAGGTGGAGAGTGTCCTGCTGTCCTGGTCTGCCAGGGGATGGACACTGTCCAGGGAGCAACAGGTCTGAAGCTGGCTTCTCCCACTTCCATGTGAATGCCCCACTTATATGATGCTCCAGCGCTGTGCTGGACCTTGTCCCTCTCAGTACTCCTTTACCCCCTTGCCTTAACTTCTTCTCATTTTGCTATTTATTTAGTTTTTGCTATTATTTACACAGCCTTTCCGAAGCCCTCTGCACGGGAAGAAGCATGCAAAGCCTCCATAGGCAGCGTGAGCTCCCGCGTCGCCCACGCACGTGTCCCTCTCCACCACGGGACCCTGACACCTGAACCATAGCACTAATGTCCCCACGGAGGAGGAAAAGGCACACGGTGGCTTCAGGCTTGGAAAATTTGAGGAGGTCCTCATGCCAGCTTCCTGAAGCTGCTGTCAGCTTGATAACACGGCGTGACGGACTGAACCCCGGTGTCAGACATCGCCCGAGCTGCCCATGCCAGGAAAGCTAGCCAAGCTGGTTAGCTGCAAGCTCTGGCTGTCTCCAGGACCAGCTCAGCTCTGTGGCCGGATACGTTTGCCCTGGCAAGCAAGATGGGCGTTTTAATTAGAGGCTGAATATTTTTAGAAGCAGGAAAACCTCAGCGGAGGCTGGGCAACAAGAATAGGCTGGGTTAGGGAGGGGGATGAAGTGGCTGAGCTGGCGTTTGCTTGTAGCACTCTCTCTCCTGGAGGGTTATCAGCATCTCACCCTCCTTTCCAGCATGTTGGAAAAGACACCGAGGGTTGCTCCCCGCCATCTGCCTCGTGCCCAGGGCAGCATAGGACAAACTACTTCTTTTTATTTGAAAAGTTGCACCTCTTGGTACCCAAAAGCTCCCATTTTCTTCTCGATGGTCTGTTGGAGCTGTTTCTCCTGGCTGTCAGCTGCCAGCCTACAGAAGTCCCTCGCTGACTGATTATGTGACTGACTTCATAGCAGCAGTAGGTGCCGTCCCTTTTAAAAATAGCTGTTCCTCTGTACATTTTCCATTTTGCAGGAGGTTTTTATTTCCAACACGTTTGTTCCACACACCCTGGCTTGGTCAGGCTGGAAAGCACGCATGCACTCTTGCCATGCCAGAAAATAATGCTGCATGGCTGGGTATAATCCTTCTGGCTGCCACAGGATCTGCCTCCTGGGAAAGCTTTGGGGCAGCAAAACACTCTGCCCCATGCGTGTTTCTAGAGGCAATGCCGTAGCATTATTCCTGCCCCATCGCCCATGAGACATCCCCTTCCTTCCCTTTTTGAGTAGACAAGCAGACCCGGGAACCTGATTAAAAGGTGGAAAATTGGAGCTGAAACTAGGCCATCAGATAAATCCTTTCCTGTAATAAGCAAGGAGTCGGAGCACTGGCCCTTAATCACAGTCTTTGTCTCCCAGCATTTGTATGTCTGTGTGCACGCGTCCCTCAGCGCCAGAAAAAATCTGCCCCCCCCTCCTGCCCCATCCCCACCCCTGCGCTGCCTTTCATTAATGGCATTAAAATAAGGGTGGTTCATTCTGCCAAGGAGGAGTGCCCCGGAGAAAGCAGAAGCCCAGGCTGGCGCATCCTTCAAAAAAACCCCTGCCAGCTGCAAGGGGGTTTGGGCAGGGGGATGTGCTGTCACCCTGCCCAGCTCCATCCCTTCCACTGGTCCAGCCTCCACTCCGGGTGCACCCCAGGGGGATGAATCAGCCTGAAAAAACCCAATTTTGCCCCTGGAAACTTTCCCACCACCGCGGTGATGTCCTTTAACCCCCGCCGCTGCCTGCCTGGACCTCTGCGCCACGCGCTCCCCTCCTCTTCCTCGTTAGCGGTGGATGTGTGTCACGGCGCTTGCTGGTAATTGACTCGGGCCGTGCTGGGAATTTGAACCTACATTTCAAAGAGATCGTTAACCTCCTTTTCCTTCTCTTTGAACTGCTTCGCTTTATTGTAGGTT